TTTTTTTTTTTTTTTTTTTTTTTCCAACTATCTTTGGATGGACAAGAGAGAGATTTACAAAATTATATGCGCGACGAACTCTTCTAGTTTATGCTTCTGATGGGGGTTATCTTCAAGCCGTCCCTTTCCGAGTATGCTTTTATGCAGACCATTTTTGAAGCTTTGTTTTAGTCTCAGTGATACATATTTGAGTTGTGGTATATCATCTTGTTCATGGTCAAAACTTATGGTGTACTATTCCAATGTTTAAAATAGTTGATAATTTGTTTGTTATTGATAAATTGCCCTTGTGAAAGAGGATTAACTATGTTGATTCATTGTTTCATCATGTCAACATATACACGTCTTCTATGATCTTGTTAGTAGTTTGCTTTCCCTGACAATGGCACATCTTGCATTGTAACTTTTAAGGGAGAAAAACACCAGAAGTGAATAACATGCCAAAGAGCAAGATTAACACCAGAAGTGAATAACATGCCAAAGAGCAAGATTATCTCTTAACTCTGGTTGATGCAAATACGGGTTTCGCTAAGCTTGGTAGACTGTAGCCATCACCTATTATGCTAGTGAGGTTATATAATCTTTCCTTGAGTGAATATATCTCTTAACCTACTGCATTGCAACAGTGAACGCATCTCTATTTGTGATGTGCCCTACGACTTCGGAGGTCACTTTTCTAGAGAAACACAAGGCTGCTTTATGAAAATTGTGTCTATGTGAACTTAGAAAATTTTAATAGCATCTATTTACATTTTTACCGACTTCAATAAGTTACTGACAACTTTGAGGATAAGGGACTTTACCAAATCTCTAGCTGTACCAGAGTACAGGTGTGCAGTCATTGGTCTTACTTCTTAATATGCTGTTTGGACATGACTTGTGTTGAGAATAGCATGCTTCATCTTCCTTTAAGCAAGGATTTAGGTATTTAGGATAGTAGGCACATGATATCTTTGCTTCATAGGAGCTAACTTTCAGAAAAAGGATAACCAAGGAGCTAGCGTTTGGTTAGCGTTATTAAACTGGTAATGCAGGACTTTATACGTCATATCAAACGTTGTATAGAACAATACAGATCATTATACCATGATTGTTTTTGCTTATAGATGTAACCGACTGACACCTTTCCCTTGAGGCATTATCTGTTTTCTTTTGTTGCTCACATTATCAGAATCAATAACTGATTTATTTAGACAAAAGGGCATCAGGATTGATAACTGACTCTAGAGGCAGGAAGCTTAACAAGTTGTCAATTATAGGGATTAGAAATGACTCAGCCAAACCTTCAACTTTCCTAGAGCTTGCCTTTGTTGTACCAAACCTTCGATACACATTCATTAGATGTTCAAGCATATATCAGGTTGGTGGTTGCATCATGTTCTCAATTTGTTCTCTTCATGGTTTTGCTGATGTAGTGCCATTTGAAGTAAATGAGAGATTGTATAACCTCTACTACTAAGACGAAAAATATTTGATATGACCTTGTATGTCAGGGTACTGGAGAAACCACTGGATGGGAAGGAAATGAATGAAGACACTTGTATTTTGCGAATGAGGGGTTTGCCATTTTCTGCTGGGAAGGATGATATCATGGATTTCTTCAAAGATTTTGAGTTGTCGGAGGATGCAATTCATGTCACATTTCTTCCAGATGGAAGACCAACTGGAGAAGCTTTCGTTGAGTTTGCAAGCAATGATGATGCCAAAGCTGCTCTGGCCAAGGATAGGATGACTCTTGGAAGTCGTTACGTTGAGCTTTTCCCATCCTCAACCGAGGATATGAATTACGCTGTATCAAGAGGCCGGTGATAAATTTTGGTTTTCCTTAGTTAATAATCTTTATGTTGTAACTTGGCAATTTGGTGATAGTATTATGCGAGGTTGACTTTATTTTTCAGTAGAGGAGATACAAAGGATTTTTGGAAGGTGAAGCACATGGTATACTTTTGCATTCATATGTTTGCTCATGTTTTGAGTTTCAATGCGATTTTTCATTGTTATCTTTTTAGCCATTTTAGCTAGTTTACTTTAGGCCATATATTTCTAGGGGATTTTTCGTCCAACCAGAGGTTTATATGTTAAGCAAAAGTATATTTGGTATAATATTGGTCTGACACGAGCTTAGATTGTGCGATATGGTAAGTGAGATTCATATAGCTGATTTCAACTTGCTTGCGTGAGATATAACAATCACCCAGTGAAATTTTAGAAGTGGGGTCTGAGGAGGTAATGTTTATGCAGGCTTTATCCCTATCTAGGGGAGGTAGAGAGGATATTTCCGAAAGACCCTCGGCTCGATTTGGAAACTACTCATGTTCTACTTTAATTGATTTTTGGCATTTTTTTGTGGTCCACAATATTTGATTTTTTCAAATATCAAAAAGGAATTAACTTCTTTTTTCCAAAGTTACCATTAGAATAAAGAGCCTAGGAGTATTTGTTATATTTCTAATGAATAAATTTAGGTTAATATGTTCAATTTTATTTTTAATTAATGCTAAAAGGTAAATTTCTTAATATGTGCGAAAAAGACCAAAACATCAATCAAAGTGGACCGGAGAGAGTAGCTTAGCAGATATTGACTACCGTTACTTTTCTATTTAGTAAATGTAGCAAGCAGTCATAAACAACATCAGTAAATCCAGTGTAATTTTATAAGTGGAGTTTGGTGAGAGTAGTGAGTACGTAGCTTTACTCATATCTTGTGAAGATAGAAAAATTATTTTCGATAAAACAAGCCGTCGTAAACATGACACATGTATACCCAGCTAAATGGGTCAAATAAGCTACAAAATAATACCATTTAGGTAGAATAAGGTGATCATAGTCTTTTGAAGACTATGTTAATAAACAAATCAATGGTATACATGTTCTTTTCTAAATTTTTTTAAAATATCTCCAATATAAGTGAAATAGAATTTCTTAGTTACAGCAACGTCTGTTTACCCAATATAAATTCCAACGAGAGTTTGTATTCCTTTTGTAAAGGATTATTTGACAATTCATTCTTTTTATAATGATGATATTCGAAATAACTCGTGCATATTTCGACTATTTTACAGGATATTTGTTATCTTTCATCACCATATTTGTCGAATAACTCTTGGCATCAAAGTTATGCGGAAGAAAGTAATCACTTACCGTTTTTTGTCTCAACTGAAATTTGAATCAGTTCAGCATCAAAATTCACTTATTGTTTTTTGTCTCAACTGAAATTTGAATCCTACTTCCCACAATTTTACATTTTCATTGCTATTCGATCACATCATTGGATGCTATTTAGCAATTCATTTTTTAAAAAGTTAAATGGATTTAGAATTCTCTGAGTAACATAAAGACAATGAAATCTAAACATCTGCAGTTTATGCTTGTGTCCAGTGGAAAAAACAAAAACATCAGACAGAATGGTATCAATTTAATTAAACTTAGTATTCCAAAGTTCAAAGAATTCAGTGAAATGCACGTGTGGGTACATTAATACTAAGATTAGCCTGACATTAAGGGGTATCCTAAGTTCAATGTGTCCTAAAAGATAAAGCCAACAGATGAAATTATTTAAATAGTTGTTGACTAATTGGACCTTTAATTAATTAATTACTAGGTTTTTAATTTTTAAAAATGCCTCAATATTTCACCGACAAAGATAGTTACTGCCACTTTGGCAACTTGCATGATATTTTTTTCTTTTTTATTTAATATAAATTTCTGTCTTTTTGTGTTTAATTTCTATGACTAATATTATTATTGTAATCGTTATGGATATGAACAAATTGCTAGCAGCTGTCCTTCAGAAAATTGGACACACTTGTCAGTAACCTTATCAATATCATAGGGACTTTAGAAAAATGTCTTTCCCATTTTTATGAAGTTCTTTAAAAAAAAATGTACACATATATGTACACATATACATAAATTATGTCAAAACAGTACTCCTTCCGATCCATCATAAGTGACTTTTTGGCTTATTTATTTTAATTCAAAATAAGTGTCATTTTTACATAATAAAAAATGAATTAACTTTAGTTTTTTAAATTTGTCATTATTTAAACCAAATAGCCGCTCATCAAATCTCTTATATTAAAAATAGCGGCGGATGTGTGTGTATATATATATATATA